TGCATGACCAGTTATTTTACTTCCAATACTGTCATAGACCAGTACTTGGTCCAACTGTGCAGGACGAGCACACCGCTGGCACCCACCACGCACATTCATTAGGACCCAAATTGCTCTACACCTGCATCAACAAAGCGAGCCCACTAATCAAGTGGTTGGGGTTCTCTTAACATTTCTAAATTCTTACTTTCTGTGTTTATACATATTGAATCTCACACCTTAATAGACAGTTCACAGACTGGCCATGAACAGTGGAGTACACTGAGGTGCTCTGCCTTGGAGGAGTTTGCAGTGTATATCAGAATATCCCTTTCCTTCGGCATTCTATGAGCAATGGCTACAGCTGACCCTGGATACATCTTGAGACCTTCTTAACATTCCTCCTAATCCTATTGTGGGCATTGTTAGAGTGATGAGAGGAAATCCACTAGGAAAGAGGGTCCCAGGCTATCCTTTGCTGACAGGGATGACAATACCTACACAGAGGCTGAGAGTCTGGATTTTGAGGAATATCCAGAGACTCAGGCCACTACAGCTTCCTGGGCCTCAGCCCTTCACTAAGTCACCAAAATTGTAGCACCCCTCCTCCCCAGCTGCGAATAAATGCCTCTGGTATCTTGGGTCCATCCTCTTCCTCAAGAAACAATTAGGGCAATGAACGCCTGATGTGGAAAAGTGCTAAATAAGTGGAAAAAGAATTTAAAGTAAAATGAGTAACCAAATTAGGGTGTCCGAGGGTCTTCAGGAGCAGCCACAATCCAGGCATTAACTACAATGAAATGTAATTACAATTTGTTCTACCCCATCCTACAAGACACACACAGAGACCCACACTCACAAAATCCCCACCTCACAACCTTCTGAAAGGCTGACGGGTGTATCCACTGAAAGTCTTTCTTTTTGGTCCAGGCTGCTCTGTCAAAGACAGGCTTAGGTCCTTGAGGGGGCTTGGGAAGCTAAACAGGTGTCTGGAAATGGAAATTGGAATCTCAGACAGCTTTTGATGATAGATTTCTTGAGTCCAAATCATTCTCCAAAGCAAGGGATTTGCCTAGGATGGCCCGCCTTTGGGAAGAGTTGCTAAGAGGAGAAGCTTGGTCCAGCTTCTCTCTCATCCCTGCTCCCCACAGCCTTTGGTCTGAGAGAGGAGGAAAAGAATGGGCTTAAGTGTCCTTCAAAGGGAAGCTGTATGCAGTCATTTCAGCTGAGGCTGTTTCTCCCTTACTAGAGCCTGAGGAGAGCCTGGCAGTGCAGTCCAGGATCAGAGAATGAAGAGACCCATTTCATTTCTAAGGGACTGCAGCCACTGACACTTCAAAGTCCCCTCCTGGCACCTCCAGGGACTAGTGCTCAGTGCTGGGGGTGGGGGGAGGGTGCTCCTTGGGTAACAGTAGGGCCCTGGGAGACTCAGGGAGGGAGGTCAAGCTTTTGTACCAAGCCAGGAGCATGGGAAACTGAGCTGCAGGCATCTTCCCAAAAGCACCAGTGCTATTGACTTAAAAAAATAATAGATATTAATTTGCATGACATTTTACATACAGGTTTCATGTTGTGCTTTTCACCTCCTGCCACTGGCACCTCCAAAGACCCCTAGGTTTTCCCTCTCCTGCCCCCAGAGTAAGGGCATTGCTGTGTGTTGTCTAGCCTTCAGAACTTTCCTACCACCATCTAGCCTATTCTTGGATTAGCCCAGAGTGGGGTGGGGGACAGGAGTTGGCCTTATTTAGGTGTGCCCAATTCAGTTTTGCCAGAGAGGTGTAGGCAGGCAGCCTGGCAGATCTGGACTCTGCTGGGCACCTTGGTTAGGGGCATCTTGGTTAGGGGTACCCTACTTACCTGCAGTGAGGCCTCCCCAGCAGGGGGATTACACACAACCCCCTCTACCCCTTTCCAAGCTTGCTCAGGCTGGAAGTCAGAGTCAAGTTGCTGAAAAGAAAGGAAACTCAGTGGTGGCTATGATGACAGGGTCTGGGCATCTGATTTGCATAGGAAGGTAATTTCCATACTTCTGGGTGAATTTCCATATCCCTGCCTTAAAGCCTGTTGGGGCAGAGAGGGGAAGAAGGGAGAGGTCATTTGAAATTCAAATGAGGATGATTAAGGTTTTCTTGTGGAGGGAAGCCTGGACAAAAGGGGTTAAACTAGCTAGCAAAAGTCTGCTTTGGCTCAAAGTTATTAAATGGGAAGCAGCACTTAGTTGGCTCCCTGCCACTTTTCTGAAGGCCCTGGAGATCTGGTAGTCTGGCTAGGCTGGGTATTTGCATCAACCAATTGGGTCTTTATTCTCTCCTGCCTCTGGACTCAATTTACCTCTCAGTGTCCTGAGGATGCTTGAGCTCATAAGAACCATTGAGCGAGTTCTAGTTCTGGGCTCTGTCCTGCCTTCTTCTGGTGACTGTGAAATTGGTGAGACAGTCTGTACTTCCTTGTTTGGCTGAGGAGGTGTGAGGACAGGTGGATTCTGAATTCATCTATACTACTAATCTGTGCCCTTGGACAAGTCATCTCAGCTTCCCATCTTTGGGCCTGAGTTTGTACACTAGATGGAGGGTCTGAACTTGAGGCTCTCTAAAATCTCTTCCAGCTCTAAGAGATGTTGTGATCTCTGAACACACTCTGATCCTTTGCACACACCAGTTATTATTTGTAAGATACTTTGATGTGAACTGCTGCACTTCTCAGTTCCTCTAAATGTCTTAGGAAGGATACCCCTACTCCTCTGCTTACCAGGATGTGGTCAATAAGGCCATAGACTTTGGAGCTAGAGTCTGAATTTAGATCCCAGCTTCTCTATACTAGCTATACATATGATCTTGGGTTGTTTGGACCCTTGCTGCTCAGTTTCCTGACTGTAAAATGGCCATAATCATGGTACCTATCTCCCAGGGTTGCTGAGGGGATTAAAGGAGTCAACAACATTTGTTCCATACTTAGAATAGGGCCTCCCATAGAGTAGCTATTTGCTAGTATTACTATCATAAGGATAAACTATCCATATGATGGGGCAATGACCCAGCAGCTAATCCAGGGAAACTCAATTAGAAATACAGGCTGTCCCCTCAATAGACCTGCCTGTGAATTCATTCACTCACAGCCAACACACTGTCATATTCATTTGTATTTGGGAGCAAGAAGCATACTTCAGCTAAGGACTCTAGGAGCAACTATCAAAGCTTAGTGGTCACTCCACTGAAGGCCCACCCAGGTAGAGGTGTATGTCACCTGAATCCAATGTGGTCTCCTGGTGTCCATCCTGACTCAAGTTTGTCTTTACCTCTCAGGAAGTAGGGTAATGGCAGGAAGAAGGGGAAAGAGCTGATGGAGCAATGCTCTCCTCCTAGGACCCAGTTGAGATGGGATAGAGTCAGTGAGACTAGAGAATATGTATAGTTCTGGAAAAGCTAAAGGTCCTTTTTAACCCTTGAATTTCAGTATCAACCCCCTATGAGGTTTTTGGAGATAACATGATGTGGTATAGACAGCTTTAGCTGGTGAACGGATATGGGTTTCAGTTTCTACTCAGTGATTTACTAATCAGTAACCTTGGGCAAGCTGATTAACCCCTTTGAGAGTCACCTTTTCTCATCTGCATAATGGGACTAATAAGAGCACCTACTCATAGGGTTGATGTGAGGATTAAATGCTTTCATATTTATAAAATGTTTACTACAGAGCTTGGTGCATAGTAAATGCTCAATAAATGTCAGCTATTAATTATTCTTATTATTTGAAAACAGTGTTTTGCTGCCATATATTTTAAAATTCTCTGATCTAGTCCTAGTCTCTCATTTTATGGGGGAAAAGATCGCGGTTAGAAAAAGAGAATGACTTTCCGAAGGTCAAAGTGAGGGTTTGAAACCAATGTTTCTTTAGGAGTCCTTTCCCCAGAGGCAAGTCCTCCATCTTTTGTTTTGGTTTGTGGTTTTGTTGGACAAAGCTTCCCCTTTTCCCTCCATCATTTCCTCAGAAGTGGCTCCTCCAGCCCCAGGAACACAGACCCCAGAGAAGAGAGGAAGATGTGACCCTGATAGCATTATACCACTTGAGGGAAGGGACAAGGTGTCTGGAGTCAGAAGATGGCTGTGTGACATCTCTGGCAAAACAGGAGTTCTGTAATTCTGGCCCTGTAGACCTCACAGTGGGGTGAGGATTATGAAAAGTGCACTGAGGATATGAAAGTACACTGCAAAGCAAAAGAAGAAACCCTGTACATGTCATCATGACCCATGCATGTTGACAAGCACATTGTCCCAAGGAGCCAGATCATTAAAATTTGAGCTCCTTCCTTCCAACTCTGATGCTACGACCCAGCCTCAGTTTCCTTATTTATAAAGGAGTTGTGAGGAATAAATTAAAGGAGAATATACCTTGGCAGCTTTTTGAAGTGTGAGTTGTTCTACAAATGTGAGATAACATCTCCCATCTAAGCTTTCTTGCTACACACATGCCCCTCTGAGCTGCACAGAGGACATCTGTATGCCTGCATGAGAACCAGAGCATGACTGCATGCCTCCTCTAGTAGCTCCCCTGACATTCTTCCCCACCCCTTTTCACCTTGCTCCACTCTACTCTGGAAAGAGAGTGAGGATACAAGCTCTTGGTCTCTTACTGATCTTGAACCACTTTGAACCTCTTCCTCTTTCAAGTTTGGGTGAGGGGTGGAGAGAGTGCTAGTCTGAAGTTGACTGTGAAAGGGCACTGTGGGCTGTTATGGAGAGAGTCAAGTCTAGACATGGAGCTCTAGAGAGTTGTTCCTGCTTTGCTATTTATTGCCTATATGACCTTTAGCACCTCACTTCTCTGTGGAACTCAGTTTCCTCACCTATAAATGTCATGCACAATGCCAGGAATCTCTGTACACCCCTAAGACACAAAAATATTCTGATAGAAAAATAGCAGCTGAGGTGCTTCTCTGAGATATATGCATTGGGTGCAACTACAACCCTGGGTTTATTTAACAAAGGTCTTCCTTTAAAGGCATTTTTTTGTTGTTTTTCCAGGGTCAGAGTACTATGAGTTGAGACCTTAGTGGGGAACCTGGCTCCTCTGGCCCCATACGTTGCTGCTGTGGCCTGACTCGCTGACCTCTTTTCCTGGGACCTGGCATGATTGCCCAGGATGTTTCTTCAAGTTAGCTGCTGACCACGGGAAAGCATCCTGGGCAGTTGTAGTGATGACCGCAGCATCAGTGGATATCTGGCAAGAGATAAGGGGGCAATGCAGGGGAGCCCTGAGAGGCCCATCTGTAGCTCAGACTGAGAAGAAATGAGGATTGTATTTCCAAAAAAAAATTGAAGATCTTGGTGAGGACCCTTTCACTGATTAAAGGTTGGCATGACAAATTACAGAGGGACGCTGGGAGTATCTGTCCTCCATGGCATGGCCCCAGGCTCTTGATATCTGTGGGAAGGTACTGAAGAGCAAGGCCTAGGGGTTCCATCTCATGACTGCACATGTGGAAAAGTCATCAGGATGCTCACATAGGCCATGTCTCAAGGGAGCTCTGACATCAGTCATATTTACTCTGCTTTAAATCATGAAAATCTCCAAATCCATAGACCTTCAGAGGTAGAGGGAACTTGAGAGATCATCTTGTCCTGGGAGAGTAAATGGATTTCTTCAGGAGAGCTAATCCTGATCATGAGTGATTCACTGAGCACTGAGTTTAGGAAAAGGAAAAGGGTGCAGGGATACATTAGTGATATCTTCCCTGGGCATAGCTTGTATACAGGCTGCATTTTTGTTATTATTATTTGTACCGCTAGAGGTAAGGTGACTTGACCAAGGACTCTCAGGTAGAGGAGAACTGAAAGTCAGGTCTCCCAGCTCTCCCAGTGCTCTCCCACAGTCTGTCACAGATCCTCATGTGTCCTGCTCTTCATTTGGCTTCTGCGCAGGAGCAGGGTCTCCTGCTCCTGCGCAGGAGATAGCAGGAATACAGACAGAAACTTCTTGTTTTAATAATTAATGGAAATTGAAGGCTACAGAGATTAAGCCACTTGTCCAAAGTTCAGTGTGAAACAGCTGCTGAAGTCACTCTCAAGATCAGTTTACCATGTAGTGTCTATACAAAACTCTGATCACTAGGCAATATTTCCTAGTTCCTAGGAGGACAGAATAGGGAAGCATGGTGTGTTGTGGAGTCCTGGAAAAAAACTGTTTGGACTGGTTTAAATGACTGCACTGGGAAGTCCCTTGGTTTGCTCTGATGGCTGGCTGCCCAGGAGTGTTTCCAAGGTACTGGTGACTTTAATAATTGCCATCCAAGGAAGTACCAGGAAGTTGCCAAGTGGCCATAAAGTATCACTGGAAATCTTACTGGGTTATACTAGGAGTGGACTTTGTGAGAGGAGAAGCAGTCCAGAAATGGGAGAGGTTCAACCTCATTGCTGAATGCTCTCTGTATTGTTTACCAGGCAGAAGTGAAAAATCCTGCTGGAACAGTTCTTCATTCTTATGCTGCCACCTCCCTCACCCAGAGAATAACTCCCCAGGCAAATTCACACTCCAGTGCTGCCAAAGCTATGCAAATCAGTGGGGCCTTCAAGGCTGAAGGTTTAGAGGTGGAAAGACAGAGAGCTGGCGCCAAGATGACTCCTACCATCTACTTTCTGACAGGGGTCCTGGCCAAGGCAGCTCAGCACTGCTGACCTGGTGCCCATCAGATGTCATGAGAGGAGAGATATAAGTTAAAGTTGCTCTTGACTCCCAGTACCTCTCACGGACCTATCCTTGGCCCTTCTCATGAGGACTCTGCTGAGTATTATGACCATGCTAGCCTGAGGAAACTCTGCCTAGAATCTTGGGCTTCCCATTAATTCAGTGTGTCTTTTACCCCCTTTTGATCACTTAATATCATTTTCTATGGGTGAATATGTGGTGTTCCTATTTAACTCAACTTCTCCACCTGCACCCCTAGCTTCTTACTTTGTGGGAAGCTCTTTAGTATAGATGAAAGATCTATGTACTACATGGGACCAGGGAGATGCTGGAGTTGGGGGAGCTAAATTTGGGCTTTGATGGTATCCTCAGATGCTAATAATGGATTCATGCTAGAGTGGGAAAAATATACCACACTGGGATTAGAAATATGGCTTTTATCTCTCCTTGACAATCATTTCCAATACACACCTGTACTTTAAAAGCTCTGTCACTTTGTGCATATCACTTAACCTTATTGAGACTCAGTTTCTTCACCTATAAAATGGGATGAATAATAATGCTTCATCTTCTCAAATGCAGGGAACTTAACCTGATGATCTCCTGAAGTCCATCCTAGCCTCATGAGCTAGGGTTTCAGTGTATTGACTCTCTTCTTGCTTTCTTGCTGGGATCTCATGGCCCAGAGATTCCCACAGACCATGAGAATCAAAAAGGCCTGAACAGACCCCAACTGGTGGCCCTTCCAGCTTGGTACAGATATCACCCTTTAACCCCACCAAGACCTTCACACTGGGGATTCTGAATTTTCCTTTGTGAGCCTTTTCCCCCCTACCTTACCCCTCCGTGTCCTTATCTTTTATTTGTGTGAAGAACAAACAGGATAGAGGAAAATGATAAGGAGAGTTCTTTGATCCTTCCTGTGTCTCTCTATGAATAGACAGTGACCAGCTTCTATGAGGGGGAGAAAGAGCCCTAGGCATTTCAGTCATTTGCAATAAACCCTAAGACTTTAGAGATGGAAGGAATTTCCGAGGTCACCTGAGAACCCCCTCTTAATGCTATCAAATTTCTTCTTAATTAAAAAATCACTTCTGTGACATCCTTGAAATAAGCAGCCTTTGCTCAAATATTCCTAGCAATAGACATTCTGTCAATGTGAAACTGCAGGTTTCATTGCTGAACAATTCCACTTGTTAAAAAATTCTTAAAATAAGATGAAATCTGCTTTTCGGAAGCTTCTACTGTTGGCTCTTGTTCAGCCTTTTGGAGCTACAGGCTAAGCCTGCTTCACTTCATGCCAATATTTGGGGAGAAAGGAAAAGTCCACTGACATTTATTTAAGCACTTACAATGTACCAGGCACTATGCCAAGTGACTTCAAACATTTCCTTATCGATTGCTTTGTGAAATTTTTATTTCAAAGCCTACATACATACAGAAAAGAGAGAAAACAAGTTTAACTAATAATTTAATAATCTAATATTTAACATTAATATAATGTTATATTATTGCTGAACATATAATAATTTAACATTTTGCTCCATCTATTTTTTAAAAAGTATTTTATTTTTAACTTTCTATTGTAAACATTTTTAAACACACACAAAAGTAGAGACAAATACAATAAGACCCCATATACTCATTGCTTACTCTTAACAACAAATTTCTGTTATTCTTGTCATGGAATATTTTCTTATATATATGGACATTATAATATTTCAATCATAAATATGGCAGTATGCATCTCTAAAACATAAGGACATTTTCCTTCTTTAACCACAATACTATTATCACACTTTGAAAAAAGAATCTCTTTTTTAATTTTTATGGCAATCCTATGAAGAAGGTTTTATCTGAAGGCAAAAGTGTTCTTCTCTAGACTAAATATCCTCTCTTCATCTGATATGATATCTGGGTTCTTTACCATCTTTGTCCCCATGCTCTTTGTCCAGTTCACTGGGGCCATTTTTGAAAATGGTGTCCCAAACTGGCCATGATGTTCATTGGTAAAGATCTGTAATTGAGACAGAATAGTATGAAGCTAGGAAAATTCCTTGGTAAGCAGAATAGGAATACTGAGACAGACTGCTGAACAAACTAGACAAGCAAATTACAACCCAGTACCTCCCTAGACATAACATCTAGATCCCAGTTGTATTTCAGCTCCAGGCCCAGAAAAACAGCAAAACCAGGTGGGTGATGCCAGGACCCACAACAATAACTAAAGACCACCTGATCTGATACTTAACCCATCAGTGGAAACCATGACCCTGAAAGGGCATACCTGGAAAACTGATGAATATTCTGCTGAAACCCTTCCCTGAGACCTCCCCTAAGATTCCCGCCTGCCTATAAGAAACACATAAAAGCCTCAAGTAAAAGGACCTAGTTTATACTCTCCATCTGAGGAGTAGCCTGAGTTATTCCCTTCTTCTTCCCCCACTTCTTTCTTCATGGGCACACATCTCCTAAACTCTAAGGCAATGGGCAGCTGGCATCCTGCCCTGGGCCAATCTTCTGAACCTGTCCCCAAAGCCCCGTTTTCTCAGACTTCCCAGTGAGCTAAGGCAGTCCATCCTAAGTTCTTCTGTTGCTTCCTCTATGCTAATCCCTTCCTTGTTTCACTGTCCCCAGCATTAAAAGCAAATTTTCATAGTAATCTGGATTCCTGTTGTGAAATCTTTCCTACATGAAGTCTAGAACCCACACACTGCAGCTGGCCAGAGGCAGACCTACTGAGGTCAGAACTATGTCTGGTAGCATAATGATCTGCATCTACACTAATGCATAGGACAGCATTAGCTTCTTGTGCAGCACATTTTGGTCCTGAGCTTCAATCAACAAAAAATTTCTTTTTGTTGTTTTTTTTTTTTCACAAGATACTCCAATGACAACTCCCCTATCTCCCCTTACCTACAAGGAACTGCAGTATGTTTATTTCCAAACAATGTCTGCCAATAAACAGAAATGGGAATCAATTTTGACATTTTTTTCCCTTTAGGAGTAGGAAGTATATTAGATTTCTCTTGAAGATTTAGCCTCTTTAAAAATGTAAAATAGAGCCCTGGCTGGTGTGGCTCAGTGGATTCAGTGCTGGCTTACAAACCAAAGGGTTACCAGTTTGATTCCCAGTCAGGGCACATGCCTGGGTTGCAGGCCAGGTTCCCCATGTGGGGTATGCAAGAGGCAACCACACATTGATGTTTCTCTCCCTCCCCTCCCCTCTCTCTAAAAATAAATAAATAAATAAATAAATAATGTAAAATACATTCTTGCCAAGATAGAGGCGTAGATAGACACACTGTGCCTCCTCGCACAATCAAAAGAGGACAACAAAATTTAGAAACAAAACAACCAGTATTGGCAGAAAATTGAACTGTATGGAAGTCCAACAACCAAGGAGTTAAAGTAGACACATTCATCCAGACTGCTAGCAGGGGCAGAGTTGGGTGGCGGAGTTGGGCAGCTGGGCGGAGAGGGGTCAAGGGAAAGCAGCAGCTGGCAGGCCCAGTGAAGCAGCAGGTTGTGGAAGGGCCCAGCACCCAAAGCGGCTGGAGGACAGGGAGATCACACATTTGCTCATAGATAAACCAGCTGAAACTCGGACCCGTGACAGATCACAGAACCCAGGGTCCCAGCT